CCCTATATTATATTTTATGAACAAGGGAGAGGATTCTCACTTTCTCATTCAAATTAGAATTGAAAAATGAATATAAGGATCTAAATCAAGTTTGAACATTGAATCATGTCACTTTTTAACTAACCCAATGTAATACAATATAATATCATCGCATATAGTATAATATATTTGTATAAAGAGTTGACTAAATCATCAATTTGCGGGATACATATTTGACTAATGCATGAAATTATGCTTAGATCAGATAATATATATATATATATATATATATATATATGAATAGATAAAGAGATATGGAAAGATTACATCACGTTGATTATTCTTGTTTGAATGAGTCCCCAGAATTATAAACTAAAGTGGGTTTTGTATATATGTATATATTACTTTTGAAAAATCTCAAAATTCAAAAAAATAAAATTTAAGAATCTAAATTAATTTGGGTTTCATTATTGACTTAATTAAACCTTATTATTTGATTGATTGAAGTTTGACTCATGATTGAATGTTTTAAGGAGAATTCTTCATAAGGGAAGGATGGCAATATGTCTAAAATAATTATCTTCAACAATTCTACAAAATCTCTATGCCTCATTAATAATAATCATTCTCAAAATCACTTTCTTCTGTCAATAGTTGGATCTGACAAATTCATAATGTGCTTATGAAATTGGACGGTTCATATAGAAACTAATCTATAAGTATCTCTATAAGTATTTTCTGAACTTGAAAGCATATTCTAAAAGCATGACTTGACCCTGATGAGTCTTGAGAATTCAATTCATCTAAATTTTAATTCACCAAAAACAAAAAAGAAGCTAATCATTGCGAAAACCTCTTTGCATGTGTTAACTAGTAAGAGCAACTGTCATTTGAACGAATAGTTAATATTTTGATTATTTTCTGACGCACATAGCAACCTAATTGTAAAGGGTTTATACCTTGTGTCTCAAAAAAACAAAAGCACTAATGATTAGATAATAATTAATTATTTTTTGTAATTTTCTATAATGTTAACAATAAAAAAAGCTTTAGAGTCAGATGAAATAACGCTTGTGATACCGCATAATAAATATATTGTACAGAAGATTCATTCATAATCAATTCTTTGTAATAAAATTATAATTTTACGCTTACATGAAGAAGTACCATTCAGACCACAAGATTTAAATTAAATTAAATTTTATTATTAATTAAATAATAATATACTCTCTATTAAATTGTCATCATATCGTATCACTAAACGAACTTTGATCGTTAATCAATATTATAAATAATTGAAAATGAACACGATCAAGTTGCAATATTATATGATTGAAAGCAATAAATGGTCAATGAGGAAAATTTATTTTAAAAAAAACAGTGTCAGTTTATAATTCTAGAAAGTAACCCATGATAATTTAATATTGAAACATGAATGCTTGGCAATGTTTATTTTTTTAATAAATATCTTTTTTTGGTCGAATTTTAATGAACGTGTTGAAACATAAATTTTTCTTCATGAGGATTGCCGACAATGTTAAATAAATATTGCCGAGTAATATTCAAACTCAACTTTCCTAGTCAGGTCCAAAAAAAAAAAAACACTTACAGGAATATTTGACCAAATCCTTTCCAATTTTTTTTTTATATAGTTAATTATTTTTTCCAAGAAAGTTAAAATCCATAAAGTTGCAATCAAATTCGATTTCTTATTCTTACAATCCATGTGCTTAGACCTTGATCACCTATAAAATTTTCTGTTGGTGGATTTACTCCAAAACTAACAAATCATTTTAAGTTAGTTTTTTTAAATGGTGGTTGGATTAAATGGAAGGGCATTATTATTATTATTATTGGGAATATCATATAGTTATATAACTATATTTAGACTTCAATCACCTTATCATTTTGTTTATATTTAATCCAAAATTAGCAATTAACTTTAGGTTACTGTCTTCTGTGATTATTTGAAGTAGAAAATGAAACTTTGTTTGAGGAAATAATCTAACTAACAACTATTAAAGTATATTAATAAGGATTAATGCTTGATGTTGCTATTTTAACAGTTAATATCAGTTTTTTAATAATAAAGAATAATATTATTACGATTTTAAACTTTTGAGGCAAATATGCACTCAAAAGATCTTCTGAGTCCCAACACTTTTTGAGTGAGAGTTTAAAAAAAAAAAATTTACACCTTAATTCTATTAATAAATATGAAATCAATTCCTGTAAAAAAATTTCCATTTTATGATATATGATTTAGAGTCAGAAACGCAGGCTAAATTTGCAAGACCAACTTATTTACCCCAAAATTTTTTAAATTTTTACCCGGCCACTAGGCTTAAAAAGTTTGTTCGAAAAACTAAAACAGAGCTTTCTGAGCATGAGGCCTAGCCTATATTAAAACAGGCTTTTCCATAACAATATTATATAAATATATTAGCTTTGATTCTAATTATAAAAATTAATTAACTAATTTGAAAAAGTTAAGAAAATAAATTAACTTTGTTATTTGTAATAAATACGTGTTGCCTTTTCTAAAATATTCTTGCTAATCAAGTGTATTGGCTAGAATTATCATTATTAGAAGGACTTTTTTGAAAAAAAAACATAAATATGATAGACAAAATGGATTGAGGTCTTATATTTAAGACCAAAATAAAAGTTAAATGAGGTATTATATTAAGGATTGGAGGTAGTAGCTCGTAAGCCTACTTTACTTTTTTTCCTGATTTTTTAAAAATTCTGATATTCTTTTTTTGTACAATTTTTTTTTGCTATGTGTATGTATCCTCCCATTAGAGACAAATAGAGACAATTTTATTCAAGATACTTTCTAGTATTAAATGTGAGGACTAACCCCTTTCCGCTAGATCTAACCCTTTAAACTTAATAATCGAAATTTGAAAAGTTAAATCTTTAACCCTCTTCTCGTTCCAATATTCTCAGATTAAGTGAAATGAAATTAACCCACTAATAATATTTGCACTTCTCTATTCAAAATAATATAGAAATATATTCACATGTATAAAAGTAGCACTAGAGGATCTCCATTGAGAAAGTGAGTTAATAAACAAATAACTGTGATGCAATGAGTTTATGACACTCTATTAAGATAAAAATATATTGAAAATATAAATTATATATAGATTACAATTTTTTTATTAAAATTATTATATATCATATGTATGATTTCATTTAGTTGAAAAATTTCTAAAGTGTTACACAATTACAAATAATTTATTATCTTATGATTCTAAAATTATTTTTAAAAATTAGTTAAGATAAATGATAAAAAAAATATAAAACTATATACTCTTCCGGTCCTAAATATAAGACCCATTTAACTAATTTGATTAGATTAAGAAAGTTAGGTAAGTTAGTTAACAATAAGAAATGTGACATGGTTTTCCTAAAATACTATAATCATCTTTCTTAATATCCCTTCTTCCTCTTCTACTTGATTATGGTTGAGAGAGTATCCATAGGGGTAATTTAGAGAAAATTGATAAATATAAGAAATGGGTCTTATATTTAGGACTAAAACTAACTCAACAATTAGGTCCTATATTAAGGACTGGAGGAGTATACTCCTAACTCCTATTTGGCCCCCTCTATTTTTTTTGCCAACAGTTGGGCCTCCTCTATCCTCGTCCAGGTTCCACCCTCCTCAAATCTAGATTAATCAAAAGAATTGGATTCCAAATAGTTATTTCTCTGATCCTAAATATAAGACCCATTTACACTACAAAATGAGTCTTATATTTAGAACCGGAGGAGTATTTAAATATCCTTATTGGTCCGCAGTCAGATTTTCATTTGCTCAAAAACTAGCAAAGCATCATTAAGTTTGAATTTTCATGATTATTTGCATTGTCCATTTGAATTAACGATGGAGAATTGATTTTGCACTATACAAAATAAATATGTGAGAATAGTTTTATGTCGTGACGTGAAAAATGTTAAATTAATTCAAATAACTTTGTAACATATAAAATAGAGTATGTGGGGTATCAATTGATAAGAAATAAGCAATGATATGTGAAGCCATTGATTAGCCACTTGTTAAAACTTTTAAGGTATGTTAATTAAATATGAAAGCAGTTTTTACAAAAAAATTAAAACTTTAAGGTATATTATGTAAAGCTACATTTTGCACACCAAAGCACAATAATCTAATGGAAAGCCAAACATAAAATACACAAACTAGAGAAAGCAGGAAATATATAATCTCAACCATCCACCGCAACTGCTAAACCACTCACATAACAATGCCAAAAGAACAAAGAAATGATGGAAATGGGAACTCATCATTATGTAATAATCTCTCTAGTCTTTCAAAATGGAAGGAGTATGAGCCCAAAAGGCAGAGAAAAAGAGCAAAAACAGGGCAAGAAGCAAGGGATCCAACATGAAATAGTAATCACAGAAGATGCAGCGGAGTTGCTGCAGCAGCAGGTGATGTTGGAAATGAATGATTATGGGGACGAGGGGCCTCCAGTTGTAACAATACAATTCATAACTCACACAAATCAAGTCAGTTACAGAGTTGCACACGACTGCACAAGCATATCAGAACTCAGAAGAGTGGCCTCCACCTGCAGATCACACTTCTAATATATTTTTTTGTATCTTTATGATTGACTAGGTTTACATGTATTTATGTTTACCTACGAATCTCTCAATCTCTAGTGATACCAAACCAAGAGGATTCTTTTTACATATATGCATATATATCAAAAAGTTTAGTTAAATTGGATCTCGAGACCTTATTAGAGTTGGGACATACCTCCAGGCTCAGAGAGTATTTATAAAGGTACTTACAGATCAAGCACCAATAAAGTCCTTGTATTGGTAGTGAGATTTGAATTCATGATTTTATGGGTTAGTTATGAATCAATTTCTTACTAATTGGACTGACTTTTGTTGGCAAAACAGGAGGATTCTTAAGTAGCATGAATAGATGATACCATATTAAATACCAGTTTCATTTAAAAAGATGACTAAAAACTTGCATTCTATTGTCCCTTTATGTGACTATAGACTGTGCATGGAAAACACGAGAGCAGCAAAAACAAAACTGAGATATAAAACAGCAGTATTCAGGTAAAACAAGAATACACAAACCTGAAGGAATTGGTGCGATTTGAAACCTTGGTGGAGGTGGAGGGAACTTTTGTGGATTTAATCCTGGATTATTCCGAAAACTGTGTAGTATGACATGATAATTAGCAAAGTGTTTACATGTGATCCCACAAAAAAACGGCTATGAAAGGTAAACAAAATTATTTGTGCCAACCTCCTGGGAGTAAAACGTGCAAATGAACCATTCACTGGGATATCTCCTGTTAACTGGTTGCTTGAGAGATCACTAAACAGTCACACAAAAAAAAAAAAAAGATGTAAGTACAATTAGACTTCTAAATTTGCATTGTGCAATAGAAAACTAGCTTGTAGGAGGAACACGCACAGGACTTGCAGAGAAGCCATCGTAGTCAGGGACATAGGAATGTTTCCCGACAAGTTGTTATTGTTGAGACGCCTGTTTCATAGAGCAGAAAGAAATGAATCATTCAACCATAACCTGACTTTAACACCAAGTACATGAATATTATTAATAATTTCGTTTGGATCTAACAAATAAAGTGGAAACCCCCCTGACTAGTTTCAATTAATTATCATGTATTTGAAAGTAATAATTGCTGTGATGACTGTAAGCTCCATGTCATAAAGACAAACAGAAGAAATTTGAAGAGAATAAGGAAACAATGACATACAGAACAAGTAGCTTTTTAAGGTTGCCCAATGAGTCTGGGATGGGACCGCTTAATCTGTTCATGGAAAGACTCAGGTTAAGCAAACTTGTCAAGTTTCCAAGCTCCTTTGGAATTGCTCCAGTTATATTATTGTCATAAAGTTCCCTGCGGTAAAAAAACTATATTTTAGATTTGACTAGTTATAACATCAAAAAACTGTATTTAAAAGATCAGAACTTAGAACTAGAGATCGATGAACAAGGAAGAGAAACTTATTTGACTTATCTTCAGGACAGCATAGAGGAGAAAAAGAGATGACGTTTCTTTCAGAACAGACATTGCTAAGAGGTAAGTCTAGGCGCTACAAAAATCCCAGATGAAGTTTTAGGATTTAAGGTCTAATGTTTATGACCGTGAATTAAAAAATCAGTTCATAGCTTGTATACTCAATATAAGAGTAATGTTTATAAGATCGTGTTTAAAGAAGCCTCTGGGGAACAGCAGAAGAGAATATCTCAGTTAAAGTCTAATCTTAAACAAAATCCTAGCATCAGATAATTGAGGCAAATGGACTTAACAATACTTTAGATTCTCAACTTACAAGGACAGTAAATTTGGGAGCTGACCAAGCTGTGGAACCAGATTACCGGAAAGGTTTGCATTTCCAAGACCACTGAGGCAAAAACACAAGTGAATTGTTTACACTACGTGTGGTAAGAATCTTAAATTAAGGTTAAAACCATCATAAAGTACTTACATATGGATCACAGTATTGTTAAGGTTGCATGTAACATGAAACCAAGTGCAGGGATTTTTAAGGGTAGGATCCCAACTTTGGAGAACATTGTTAGGATCAGCCATGTTGGTTTTTAATGCATACACAGCATCACCTGTCGTAGAGAAATCAATTTTAAGGTGAAGACATCCTTTATATCAAATCATATTTAATCCTACACAAGGTAAACATCATGAAAATCACGAATCGTGCTAATAAAAGCTCAGTTACACCAACTTATGGGAACACACAAATGTCAACCATGTTGTAATGGGAAATATGTACAGAAATAAGAAACACGAAGGCCAACTTGCTAAAGACCAGACTCATAAAAGAAATATAATTGCCAAAGTTCTGTTATGAGTTTCACGTGGGGAGCTTCACAAGAGTAATAAGGTTTATCAGTTTAAGGACCTCTTCCACCCAACAGACTTATCTTTTGAGATTGAGCTCTTCTTTTGGATTTATACTCATGACATTGATACTTTTATTGAGAGTTCAATGTTTACCGGGAGGGCTAGCCACGGAAGATCTTGACCAGCAAGAGGCCGAGTGAAGTGTCATCTGTCAGGAACGTCAGCTTCTAAGCAGGAGTGCATTGTTACAAGTTCTACACCAGGGAACCTCGTGAGAGAAATGGGGTATAAAGGTTCAAATGGCTCTTTCACCCTAACATGTTAGTATTTTGAGATTGGAGATAAGTTCAAAGGACTCTCTCATCCAACATTCTAGTCTTTTGTTATTAAGCTCTCCCTTTCAACTCGTGCTTGTAATAATCTCACAAAGAATCAGAATCAAAGATACCCTCTGGCCCCCATCACTAAGCCAATGGTAAAAATGAAGAGAAATTAAAAATTAAACTTGACACTTGATGATCAAGGAAAGCCAGAAGCTAATGAAACAAAAGATACCACCAGGATGAAAACCTTTTCATTTTCCTTCAGCTTAAAGGTGAATGATCAGTTCAACAAAACAGAATTAACTGAAAGACGCCTGTAATGAAACTCACCTTCCGCATTGGCGGAAACATTTACAACCAAATCAAACGCTAAAATCGCCAAAAGAAGATACAAACCCATCGAAGAAGAAATCACTCCCTTCATATCTCTCTATCTTCTTTGGCCACATTCCTGAGAGCTTCAGCCATATTATATAGATTTCATTGATACAAATGTACAGAATTAAATCGCAATTGAATACTTATTAGCCAACTCATATCTTTGAAAGAAAGAAATATTCAATGAGAAAAAAGGCTGTATAAAAGCAGTATCAGTATATAGTTAGAGAAGGTGACTTGTGGTGCTTTTGCACGCAATCCAACACATGAAATTCTAACATCTGGACCTGCAAGTTCATTTTAGTGGCGTAGTTTATGTTTTTATTATTGTTAATCATATCATCATTATTATTTTGTTACTAAATATGTTGAACATAGAATTTATCTTCCGAAGAACTTCCAGAACACTACTTCAATAGTGTTGACTAATATTCAAAGTCAACCTTCCTACACTACGAAGCAACTTAGTCCTTTTTTTTCCCTAATTTTTCACATGGTTAATGATTTGATCGAGAAAGTCAGAGCCAAAAAATTTGCAACGTAATTTGCTTCCTTAATCTTACAATAATCAGGCTCTGAGATCACAGGAAAAAATAAATTTCGTTGCACGTATTTACTCCAGAACCAGTAAATCATTGTAAGTTAGAATGTTTATAATTATATTCCATAAAAAAATTTTACAGTTATTGTTGTTAGGGAAAATTAGAGATAAATCCCTCATTGAGGATTTAATTGGTAAATAAGGCCTAGGCACTTTGTGCAATTTAACTTTCCTAGTGTGCAACTTAACTTTCTTCATATACAATCCATTTTCACTTGTGTGCAATTATATTTTCTTGTCTTACATGTGCAATTGAATATCCCTTATATGCAATCTAGTTTTCCTCTTGTGCAAGTTATTATCCTTATGTGCAAACTAGCCTGTTGTATCCGAATAATATTTTGTACAAATCATGTTCCCTATGTGTAACTCAACTTCATGTATGTGCAATTTATCTTCCTCTGTGCAACCTATTATTGTAGAGATCATTTGCCAATTAATTTTCTAATGAGGGATTTATCCCTAATTTTTCCTTTTTGTTACTATCTCTGATTTCTAATATACTCATAAGTCACTTCTACAGATTCCTTAATCCATAATATAAGTCACTTGGAAAGTAATTAATTCTTATTTATTAATTTTGCCCTTTCAATCAATAATTAAATACGACTCCTTATATTTTTCTCTATCTTTCACAACATTATTTAATATCAATAAGTTGGGAAAAAATTAAATTGAGACAGGTTTAATGAGTCAACTATTATTTTTTTTGTCATGATAAATTAGTTAAAATGGCTTATTGTGAATCTGGCGGAGTATAAAGAGAGTAGTCGTCTAGTTAAGGTATCATTCATAAGAAACAATTAATGGCCCAAAAATCATGTGTATTGACCTCTTGTAACTATTTAAGCTCATTTGCTCAAATTTAGATTACTCAGTCAAATTGCGAATATTAAAAGAGTTATATAAACATGTTTGACCTTATCACAGGGAAAAAAAAGTTAGACTAGATCAATCATAAAATATTAAAAAATTAATTAATATGCAAGTTATTAGTTCTTTGCTCAAATTAATTGAACGTAACTCATCAGCCTTTTTTATGTAATCATTTTACTTAAATTGAAATAAATTGTCATTTTTTCAAAACAAATCATTTTTAATTAAGTCTCTGTTGTTATTTATTGGGTCCTTGTAAAGTGAAGGGTATGCGAGGCATCATTGATAAGAAATAACCAATGTATGAGAAACCATCTAAGTAACAGCTTGTCACAAATTTTAAGGTAGTAACCATGTAATCTCAACAATCCATTGAAACTGATAAGCCACTCTGTTAAACATATTCATTGTTGTGATTTAATTGGGTAGTTAGAATCTTGGGCTTTCTTGTAATTTTGTTAGATTCTTAGTTGAGTTCCCGTGCCTATATATATTGGGCTTGTAAAACGAATGAGTTGAGCAATGTTAATAATACATGGTATTATTCAGATAATTGGGCCCGCTTGTTTTACATGGCATCAGAGCTAGCCGTTGTAAATAGCAGGTAGTTCGGGTATTGGGTCCTCTTTGATCCGAGATGAAGATCGGGTTTTGTTCATGTTGAGGTCCCCCCTGATCCGAGTTCAACAACCGGATCCCCTTCTTCGTCCTTCTGCTCACCAGAACTAGGGATTCAAGTTCTTCGTCCCATTTTACCAGATCGCACCACAGAGAATTGCGATTTGGTCAGTTCTGTTTGTTCCTCGCGTGGCTCGTCGCTCTGAGTCTCTATTTCCGACGAATCACCGAGTTGAAGCTTTCTTTGTTTCCTTCATTCGCGGTACAAATCGGTCATCGCATCGTTATTTTTTGAACGACCGATCAACAATAATTGTCAAGAAAGGTTTTCTTGCTCCCTGGTTAGTTTGATCATTTGTCCTCAATTTTCTTTTCTCCTCCACTTTCATCCGTTCTTTGTTCTGTTCCTTCCCACGACCAAGTCAATTCGCCATGCCAGAATCAGATGAACAGAAGACACAAGCTCTTGATTTCCAACACCCTCTATATTTGCACCCGGCTGACACACAAGCGCACACACTTGTTTCTCAAGTCCTTCGAGGATCTGAAAACTACTCAGTATGGAGTCGGGCTATGCGATTATCTCTTCTGGCCAAAAACAAGGTGGGTTTCATTCAAGGAACCTGTCTTCGTGAAAAACAAGAATCTCATCTTCAAGAGCAATGGGACCGGTGTAATGCCGTTGTTTATCCTGGGTCATCAATTCGGTCGACGCTCAAATAGCTAGTGGACTGGTTTTTTCTTCAAATGCACATTCAGTCTAGCTCGATCTCAAGGAGAGATTTGACGTAATCGATGGTGCAAAATTTTTTACTCTCTATCGGTCAATCAACTCGCTTGTACAAGGGACTATGGCGGTATCTGTATATTACACAAAGTTGAAGGAATTATGGGATGAACATTCATCGTTGGTCCAATTCCTACTTGTTCCTGCCAATCTTCTAAAGAGTATGCCAAGAGCGTCCAAGAGCAATGACTGTTCCAGTTTCTTATGGGACTCAATGAGGTATTCCATCAAGTTCGAAGTCAAATACTCTTAATGACGCCTCTCCCATCTCCAAATCAGGCGTATTCCATGGTCGTCCAAGAAGAAACACATAGGCATATTTCATTTGGACAACCCAATACTCTATCAGAAGGTTCTGTTCTGGTTACTAACACTACCAGAGGAGGCAGAGGTCGTGGACGAGGCCGTGGGAGAGGAAGAACCCAAGACGAATGTACCCACTGCCATAGGAAAGGCCATAAAGGGAAACCTGTTATCAGCTCGTTGGTTTTCCACCTGGGTTTGGATCGGGCAGCGGAAGAAAGGATCAAGAAGACCAAGCCAACCCAGCTGTAAATGATTCTGTGAAGTCGTCCAGCCATAATGAAGTGTCTCAAAGTTCACTGTTTACACCAGAGCAATATAAGCAAATTCTGGAGTTGCTCAAGCGTGATTCAGATCCAAGTGAGAATGCAGTAAGCATTCAGGCACTACTCCAGGTTTGGCTGTAAACTTGGACTCTGAATGGATTCTGGATTCTGGGGCTAGTTGCCATATAGTTTGTAGTCTTTCCTTCTTAGATAAATATGCTCTTTATATTGGACCACCTAAATGGGTTAAGGTTCCAAGTGGTGAACGAATTAGGATCACTCATGTTGGACAAGTTAGAATTACCAAGAATATTTTTTTGAAAGATGTTTTATATGCAAAAGAATTTTGTTATAACCTGATTTCTATTGCTAAGATCACTTTAGATAGTTTATATGTGGCTTCCTTCTTCCCTAATATTTGTGTCTTGCAGGACATGTTCAATGGGATGATCAAAGGGATTGGTAGACTTTCAAGGAACCTTTACTTGCTTAAGAGAGAAACTACCTCTGAATTCATGAATACTGTCAACAAAAATGATTCTTTACATGCTGTAAATTTTTCTCTTTGGCATCTTAGACTTGGACATGCACCTATGGATGTCATGAAACATTTAAATGACATGAAAGTTACTAATTGTACTTCTGATAGTAATAAATGTGAGATATGCATTCAAGCCAAGCAACCTCGGTTGCCTTTTGTTTCCAGTACATTTAAGTCTTCTTTCTGCTTTCAATTACTGCATATTGATGTGTGGGGTCCCTACAGAACACCTACACATCAAGGGCACAGATATTTTTTGAGTATAGTAGATGACTATTCTAGAGGCACTTGGGTTTTCCTAATGCATTATAAATCTGAAGCTGCGAATTTCTCAAGACATTCATTACTTATTCTGAAAATCAGTTTTCTGTCAAAGTTAAATCTGTTAGAACTGATAATGGAAGAGAATTTGTTAACAATGAAATGAGTGAATTCTTTGCCTCTAAAGGAATTGTACACCAAAGATCCTGTCCTTTTACCCCCCAACAAAATGGTATTGTTGAAAGGAAGCATAGGCACATTTTGAATGTTACTAGGAGTATCATGTTTCAATCACATATTCCTGCAAAATTTTGGGGGGAAGGGGTTAGAACTGCTGCTTACCTGATAAATCGTTTACCCTCTAGATCCTTGGGCTATGTTACACCTTATGAACTACTGCATCAAAGACCACCTTCCATTAAGCATCTAAGAATTTTTGGCTGCCTTACCTATGCTGTGAATTTAAATTCCACAGACAAGCTACAACCTAGAGCCGAGCCTTATGTTTTTCTAGGATATCCTACTACTCAAAAGGGATATCTCCTATATAGTATTAAAAATCAGAATTTGATTGTTACAAGGGATGCTACTTTTCTGGAAAACAAATTTCCTTTTAAAGATGCTAATAATATTAGCCAAAGGGGAGCCAATAAAGTCAGAATTGACCCCTTCTTGATTGATCATCATGATCAACAACCCTTTAATATAATGCAGGATGAGGTTGAACATAATAGATACACAGACACACAGGAAACTGTCAGGGAGTTACAGAGTCGACATTTAGGACAAATTAATCCTAATCAATCCTCTTCTATCAATCCAGTAGGCCTCTCAGAAACAAACAACCACCAAACTGGACTAAAGATTATGAATGTGATATTCTGCCTCGTTGCAGTCAAAATAATGAATCTTTGCTTTCCTGTATCACTTGTGATGATTTAACTGATTCCTATAAGTGTTTTCTTTCTGCCATAGATAAGGAAATAGAACCAAATAATTATGTGCAAGCTTCCAAAGACCCTAGATGGGTCACAGCCATGCAGAATGAGATGAAGGCCTTGGAAGCAAATAAAACTTGGGAGATAGTGACTTTACCTAAAGGAAAGAAACCAATAGGGTGTAAATGGGTGTACAAAGTGAAATATAAGGGTGATGGAAAGATAGATAAGTTTAAAGCTAGGCTTGTTGCTAAAGGCTATAGTCAAAAGGAGGGGGTTGATTTTTATGAGACTTTTTCCCCAGTTGTTAAAATAGTCACTATTAGAACTGTTCTTAAATTAGCTGCTTTGAATGATTGGTCTTTACATCAAATGGATGTGGATAATGCTTTCCTGCAGGGAGATTTACATGAGGAAGTCTATATGACTGTACCTCAAGGTTTTGAGCAGAAATCTGATCAGCTCAAAAATCTCTATATGGTATAAAACAGGCCTCACGCCAATGGAATGAAAAATTAACTCAATCTTTAATCAAAGGGGGTTTCCAGCAAAGCAAGTATGATTATGCTTTATTTCAAAAGAAATTTAAAACTGGTATTGTTTTTCTGCTTGCATATGTTGATGACTTGATGATTACTGGTAGTAATGTTCTGATTATAAATGAAGTAAAATCTTTTCTGCACAAAAGTTTAAAATCAAGGATTTAGGACCCCTAAAGTATTTTCTTGGTCTAGAGGTTTTGAGATATGAACATGGTATATTCTCAGTCAGAGAAAGTATGCCAGTGAGATTGTTGATCAAACAGGTTTGGATGAGGGACAAGCTGTTACACAGCACAAGCACAAGAGACAAGAGATTATCATTATATTGAAGACTTTGGAGTCTATAGAAGACTTATTGGTAAGCTCTTGTATTTGACCTTAACCATACCTGATATCTCTTTACTGTACAGGTATTAAGCCAATTTATACAAGAACCCAAGGAGTCTCACTTGAAGGCAGCATTGCGGCTGGTCAAATATATTAAGGATAGTCCAAGACGTGGGATACATCTCTCATCCCATGGCTCTTTTGACCTGGAATGCTTTTGCGATTCAGATCATGGGAGCTGCACAGATTCGAGGAGGTCTATGACTGGATTTTTGATCAAGTTTGGAGGTTCTCTTGTTTGCTGGAAATGTAAGAAACAAAGTACCGTTTCTATATCTTCAGCAGAGGCAGAGTACAGGGCTCTAAGAATGGCAGCAGCGGAGATCACATGGCTTGTAGGACTAATAAAAGAATTACAAGTTCATGGCGTTGAACCTGTAAAAGTACATTGTGACAGCCAATCTGCCATTCATATAGCCTCAAACCCTGTCTTTCATGAGAGGACCAAGCACATAGAGATAGATTGCCATTTTGTAAGAGAGAAACTCTTAGCTGGAATGATAATATTCAAGCATGTTAGATCTGAAGAACAACTGGCAGATATCCTGACAAAAACTCTTGGAGGACCACAACATGAATATATTTTGAGCAAGTTAGGAACCTGTGAATATAGAGTTCCTAACTTGAGGGGGGGTGTTAAACATATTCATTGTTGTGATTTAATTGGTAGTTAGAATCTTGGGCTTTCTTGTAATTTTGTTAGATTCTTAGTTGAGTTCCCGTGCCTATATATATTGGGCTTGTAAAACGAATGAGTTGAGCAGTGTTAATAATACATGGTATTATTCAGATAATTGGGCCCGCTTGTTTTACACACTCACATAACAGTACCACTGCTAATGTATAACAATGAGCCAAAAGGGCCAATCAACACACACAAAAAACAAAGAAATTATCAAACTAGGAGCTCATCATCTGGTAACAATCTCTCTAGTATCAAATTGAAAGGAATATGAGCCCAGAATCAAGAGATAATAGGCAGAAGCTGGGCAAGAGTTTATGGTGTTGGAGAGATGATTATGCAGAAGACGGCCCTCCAGCTGCAACAAAACAATGGACAATACACACAAATCAAGTCAGTTACAGAGTTTTCATATACTATTTTTGGTCCTAATTATAAGACCTCGTTTGCAGAGTACAAACGAGGTCTTATAATTAGGACCAGAGGTAGTGTGTGTGTGTGTGTGTAAGTACATATATATGAGATAATGTTAGACACAAGTTTCATATAGAAAGATGGGTGAAAACTTGATGGTTGAGTCAATTTGTTAATTCCCTTTTTTTTAACAAAAATTTGTTAATTCTTTTAACAAGTTCATGAAAATATACTTGCAGCCTAATGATATAAATGCTCCCCTGCTAGTAAAAGATTGCAAGTTGGATATTATTTGTAATCTCAGATCATTAGTACTTGCCCTTCTAATTCACATGAGTAGAAATCTCAAGAAGAGAGTATAATTCTACCATATCATTTCGCATTCAGTTGACTGCACATGAAAAAACACGATCGAGGCATAGTCTTATAGACATCTTGAAACCGAACAAAGAACTGTTTTGAAACTTCAATTAAAAGACTGAGAGCAGCAAAAACAAAATAACAAACATAAAAGAAGTAGTAGTAAAACAAACATCCACAAACCTGAAGGAGTTGGAGCAATTTGAAAACTTGGCGGAGGTGGAGGGAACTTTTGAGGTTTTAATCCTGGATTATTCCGAAAACTGCAAAGTGGAACATGATACTTAACAAAACTGCTACATGTGATCCCACAGAAATAGCCATGAAAGCTAAAAGAACAATTAAAAAAAAATTAATTATTATTAGTACCAACCTCATGGGAGTGAAAAATGCAAAGGAGCCATTGATTGGGATATCTCCCGTTAGATTGTTGCTTGAGAGATCACTAGATTCCACAATAACAGTGGCTTCAAGTTTCAATCTTTAAAAATTTAAGATGAAAGTACAACTAATTATCTTTGCATTATGTTGCAGAAAACTAGCTCATAGCAGCAACACTCACAGGACTTGCAGAGAGGCAATGGTAGTCAAAGACATAGGAATATTTCCTGATAAGTTGTTATTGTTGAGACGGCTGTTTAAAAAGAGCAGAGAGAATTAGTGTTTTTAGATATTAAACTAATGGGACAGTGGAGAGCTAAGTATGGTGCTCAACTCAGAGAATGTCTTGCTGACTTATGACAAATTTCTGGTTGGCAAACTAAACGTGCCAACAATGGAATAAATATTTCAATTGCAGAGATGAGTGGTTCATTTATAACTGAGTTTAATATCCTTGGTTTGGATTGAAAGAAAATGAGAGGAGAGAAAATATAGAGAGAAAACTGAAAATATAATGTTAGTAACCCTGCTGTTTGGACAAGTGGGTTATTTTTTAAGGTGTCCTAGTGGGTTAGTCGGAGTGAGAATACAGCATAAGTGGCGTAAGAAGAATTTTCTTCCCAAAATCTCTCCATATTTGGAGAGAAAAGTTGGCAAGAAAATGGGATGGGTCCACCCCCTCATTCTCCCCGTTTTTTCTTTCCTCACACTTTTCTTCCCTCATCTAAACAAGCAAGGAAAAACTCCAATCCTCCCATATTTTCTTCCTCTCGACTTTTTCTCCCATCCAAACATGGGGTATAGTAAATGATCTTCTTGGCAAGGAAAGGATTAGTAAAGTGTATATCTCTTCATGAGACTCATGCTCAATATATATGGTAAGGGACAGATAACAATAGCTTAAACTGTCTATCAAAGTGGGAACTACTAATCCTAGAAAGACATTAAGGAAAGCATGACTTACAGAAAACGTAGTCTTTGAAGGTTGCCCAACGTGTCTGGGATGGGGCCACTTAATCTGTTGAAGAAAAGATCCAAGCTCACCAAGTTTGTCAAATTTCCAATCTCCTTCGGAATTGTTCCTGATATATTATTGCTACAGACTTCCCTGTAGCCCAGAACAACATTATTTCAGATTTGAACTAGTAGAGTATTAGAAAACCATAATTAAAATGTCAGAAAGCATAGCATGCAAAGGATTGAATCCTTGAAATGTAATAGAAGCGGATGTTTCCAGTTGGTGACAATTAAAACAGCCAAGCAAATGGCTGTGCCTTTCCAGCTTAATGTTAAGGTTTGCTGGAGACTTGGTGGTATTGAAATATTAAAACCCACATTGAGTAGTAAGAGATAATGGAGTGTTTAAGTGAGTTGGTTCTCCTATCTCAAGAAGCAACCAAAGAGTTTAGATATCAGGACTTAGAAGTTTCGACAGATGAAGAAGGAAGAGCAACTAATTTTATTTATCTTCAGAACAACATGGAGAATTAATACCAAATTAATATCTACTAAGGTTTTGAGCTTTGTGGTAGTAAGTTAAGAAATCTGTTCATAGTCTGACTGCTCAATGCATCAGTACTGTTTATAAGATCATCTTTCAAGAAGCCGCCAGGTGATAACAGAAGAGAATACCGATCAAAAATTATTATTAAACAGCATATTGGTATCAGAAAATGAGGCAAATCATCTCACAAATATTGCAAATTTGAGAGCTGACCAAGCTGGGGAACCAGTGGACCTGAAAGGTTTGCATCTTCAAGATCACTGTGAGAAAACACAGATCAATATTTTAAACTGTGCAGTAAGAATCTCAAATGAAAGTCAAAAATCGCAAAAATTACTCACATGCGGGTCACACTATTGTCACTGTTGCATGTAACATGAAACCAAGTGCAAGGATTTATAAGGGTAGCATCCCAACTTTGGAGAACATTGTTAGGATCAACCAACTTGGTCTTCCATGCATACAGCGCATCCCCTGACAGAGAAAAGCAATATTTAGGTGAAAACATCCTTAATATCAAATGATGTTTAGTCCTCCACGAGGTGAACGAAGGTGACAATGGACTTCATTTCATCAATTTCATGGGAACACATAAAGGTGAATGATCAGTTCAACAAAACAGAATTAACTGAAAGACGCCTGTAAGGAAACTCACCTTCCGCATTGGCAGAAACATTTAGAACCAAATCAAATGCTAAAATCGCCAAAAGAAGAAACGAAGCCATCGAAGAAAAAATCACTCCCTTCATATCTCCTATCTTCTTTCGCCACATTTCCGATAGCTTCAGCCATATTATATAGATTACACTGATACAAATGAACAGAATTAAGTGGCAATTTAATACTCATTAGTCAAGTCATATCTTTGAAAGAAAGTAATATATAATGAGAAAAAGACTATATAACTATTGCACGCAACATCCAATACTTGAAATTCTAACATCTAGATCCTGGAAGTTCGTTTTAGTGTCATAGTTTATGTTTTTAATCATTGTTAATATTATCATTATTATCTTGTCACTAAGTACGTTGAACATAGAATTTGTCTTCTGAAGAACTTCCAGAACTTTGATCAATCTAATGCTTCAGAGTTTAGAGCATTACTGAAAGTCAACCTTCCTGCACTACGAAGTGACTTAATCTTTTTCTTTCTTTCTTTTTTTTTTCAAGTGTTCATCTGGTTAATGATATACTCAAGAAAGTTAAAAAATTTGCAATCTAATTTGGTTTCTTAACCTTACAATAAATAGGCTCAGAGATCACAGAAAAAAAAAAGTTTGTTGCAACATATTTACTGCAAAGCCAATGTTAAAAAAATAATTAATGGTCCAGCAATCATGTAATTGACCTAGCTCATGTGCTCAAATTTAGATTACTCAGTCAAATTGCGAATATCAAATAGTTTCATAAATACGCTTAGACCTAGATCATTTACAAAAAACAAAATATTGAGAGAGAAAATTAATATGCACCTTCCTATAATTCCAGCTCATTTTTTATCAAGTTTTTGTAGTTTTTTCTTTTAGTGGGTCTTAATGTTAATGTGTTAATTTTCAAAAGAAATGATATTATTAGCTGATAACTTGGCTCTTACTCAACATACATTTAAATTAATTTTGCCACATGTACTAAGTGAAATCAAGATAAACCATATTACAAATTACTCCTCCAGTTTTTAATATAAGACTTAATTGTCCTTCACATATTTATTAATTTTTTTAAAATTCTTATTGAAGGAATCAAGAAAGATAATTTGGGTGTTTTAAAAAAAATAAATCATATTAACTAATTTAACTAATATTCTTAATATACTCAGATGAATTAATTAGGTTGACTATAGGAGTATTCTTTTTTCAATATACCGCACAAGAGGACTTCAGCACGATGGTCCACTTCAGGACCTCATGCAGCAATGCAGGCTGTGAGCTATATATTACAAACTATATATAGATACAAAGGGATAGTTATCAACATAATAACTTTTTATTTTTATGTTAATAATAATACAATTTTATTTTATCGTTTTATATTTTAAAAAAACTCTTTATTTTCTAGTTTGTGACAACTTACATGTCGCTTAATCAGCATACACATTAGTCTTTATTAACAAGTTATAGGTATAGAAACTAATCCCTATAACTAAGAAAACTGTAAGGACCTAATAAAAAAATTATAATAGCCAATCAATTGAAATTATAAAGATTGACAAATTAATTTTGGTTAAAATATTTTGTTAGTAGATTTATGTTCACTTCAAAACTAACAAATAATCCAAGTTAGAATATATTATGATTATTTGTAGCATGTACAGAAGCTAATCTCTATAATTGAGAAAACTGTAAGAACCTAATAAAAAACCATAATAATATCTGATGAGTTGAAATTATAACGATTGACAAATTATTTTTTTCCAAAATATTTTGTTATTAGACTTATGTTTACTCCAGAACTAACAAATAATTCCAAGTTAGAATATATTACCATTATTTGTAGTATGTAAAATGGAGCGTGCGAGACATCATTGATAGGAAATAACCAGTGGATGAGAAACCGTTTGACCAACAACTTGTTACAGCTTTTAAAGTAGCAGCTCTTCTATTTTTTGTAAGATTCAAATTTTCGAATTGATCTGGTCCTTTTTATAAGATTTAACTTAGGATTGTTAAAACATTAAATGTATTTTTATCAATTATACTTCTAATCAATTGTATTATCTTTTATTCCATATATTCTCTTTAATCTTTTTTCATTATTTCTCTCTCTTACTTACCCTCTTATAAAAAAGGGCATGATTGGAAAAAAAACACACAATCCTTACATATTTGTAATATTAATAAATTTCTTATACAGTGTGATTCAGTTAATTGAATCTCATAAAAAAGATTGGAGATTGTATGTATAAAGGGTGTTTGGATTAACTTATTTTAAATAATTTTGCATTGCATGAGGCAAATACTTGAAAAAAATTTTGTGCTGTAAAGCGCAAATTAAGAGCATATGTATGCCTTTTTATTGAAAGTAGGAAACTAGTAACCATGTAATCTCAGCGATCCATTGCAACTGATAAACCACTCACACAACAGTACTAACTGCTAATACATAACAGTATGCCAAAATAATGGCCCATCAACACACACACACACACACACACACAAATTATCAAAATAGGAACTCATCATCTGGTAACAGTCTCTCTATTGTCAAATTGGAAGGATTATGAGCCCAGAAGCAAGAGAAATAGGCAGAAACTGGGCAAGAGTTCATGATGTTGGAGCTGATTATGCAGAAGAGGGGCCTCCAGCTGCAACAACACAATTGTTAATCCCCACAAATCAGGTCTGTTACAGAGCTTGTGTGTGTGTGAGACGATGTTTGATACAAGTTTCATATAAAAAGATGGCTGAAAACTTAATGACTCAATTTGTTAATTCTTTTAACGATTGACTCAATTTATTGACTGAGTCCATCATGAAAATCTGTGATGTGAGCCTATAGCCTTATAATCTAATGGCATAAATATTTTCTTGCAAGTAGAAAATTATGAGTTCAGTCCGTCTTATAACCTTAAACATTAGTGACTGCCCCTCTAATTCAATATATACTACCTCTGGTCCTAATTATAAGACCCAGTTGACTAATTTGAGGAGATTAAGGAAAGAAGTTAAGTTAGTTATTTGTAATAAATAGATGTTGTCTTTCCCAAAATATCCTTACTAATCAACTATATTGACTAGAGCTACAATTATTAAAAGGACTACCTTGGAAAAAAAATGCATAAATATGAGAGACAAAGTGGATTGGGATCTTATATTCAGGACCAAAATAAAAGTCAAACAGGGTCTTATATTAAGGACCGGAGGTAGTATATGGTATGAGCAGAAATCTTAAGAACAGTACAATTCTTTCATATCCTTTCATATGCAGTTGACTTTGCATGAAAAACATGGATCTTGAAACCAAACAAAGAATTGTTTTGATACTTTAATTATAAGACTGGAAACAAGAAAAACAAAACTAACAAAATATAAAAGTAGTAGTAAAACAAACATCCACAAACCTGAAGGAGTTGGCGCAATTTGAAACCTTGGTGGAGGTGGAGGGAACTTTTGAGGTTTTAATCCAGGATTATTCCGAAAACTGTTAAGAGTGGAACATGATACTTAGCACAATTGCTGATCCCACAGAAATAGCCATGACGGCTAAAAGAACAATTAAAAAAATAATTATTATTAGTACCAACCTCATGGGAGTGAAAAATGCAAAGGAGCCATTGATTGGGATATCTCCTGTTAGATTGTTGCTTGAGAGATCACTAGATTCAACAATAACAGTGGTTTCAAGTTTCAGTCTTTTAAAAATTTTAGATGAAAGTACAACTAATTATCTTTGCATTATGTTGCAGAAAACTAGCTCATGGCAGTAACACTCACAGGACTTGCAGAGAGGCAATGGCAGTCAAGGACATAGGAATGTTTCCTGATAAGCTGTTATTGTTGAGACGCCTGTTTAAAAAGAGCAGAGAGAATTAGTGTTTTTAGATATTAAACTAATGGAACAGTGGAGAGCTAAGTATGGTTCCCAATTCAGAGTGCAGTTATCAAGTAATATGATTAATGTGCTGCTAACCTGTACCAAATTTCTGCTTGGCAAACTAAACGCGCCAAAAATGGAATAAATATGTTAAGTGCAGAGATGAGTGATTCATTTATAACTGAGTTTAATATTCTTGGTTTGGATGGAAAGAAAAGTAGGGAGGCAAAAAACTGAAAATATAATGTCATCATCCCTCCTCTTTGGACAAAGGAGAGAAAATATGAAGGACTAAAAATGAGCAAATGTCACAACGACAATAATATCATTGTATCCTAATTTATTATATCTCATGTCATCATTAACAAAACTATACAAAAATAAACATTATCAAACAATTTTCAAGTAAAAACATCCAAAAAAAATATTTTTCATATTTTCGTATATTTAAAAATAAATTGAAAAAAATATATATTTCATATCTTTTAAGGTGACTCGATGAGTTGGTTGAAGTGAGAAGACAGCATGAGAGGTGTAAGAAGAATTTTCTTCCCAAAATCTCTCCATATTTGAAGAAAAAAGTTGGCAAGAAAATGGGATGGGTCCACCCGTCATTCTCCCTGGTTTTTCTTTCCTCTCACTTTTCTTCCCTCATCTAAACAAGGAAGGAAAAACTCCAATCCTCCCATATTTTCTTCCTCTCGACTTTTTCTGCCATCCAAACATGGGGTATAGTAAATGATCTTCTTGGCAAGGAAAGGATTAGTAAAGTGTATATCTCTTCTTGAGACACATGCTCAATATATATAGTAAGGGACAAATAACAATACCTTAAACTATCTATCAAAGTGGGAACTGCCAATCCTAGAAAGACATTGAGGAAAGCATGACTTACAGAAAACGTAGTCTTTGAAGGTTGCCCAACGTGTCTGGGATGGGACCACTTAATCTGTTGAAGAAAAGATCCAAGCTCACCAAGTTTGTCAAATTTCCAATCTCCTTCGGAATTGTTCCTGATATATTATTGCTATAAACTTCCCTGTGTCACAGAACATTATTTCAGGCTTGAACAAGTATGGTATTAGAAAACCATAATTAAATTATCAGAAAGCATTGCATGAAAAGGATTGAATCCTTGAAATGTAATAGAAGTGGATGTTTCCAGTTGGTGACAATTAAGACAACCAAGCAAATGGCTGTG